GAAAACAATACGATCCAACGGACCAGTGAACCAGGCTATATCACAATTTATTTAATTACGTAAGTTCCGTGAAAAGCATCAGCTTTGTTGTTTTGCTAATACCTCAAAATGAACCTGTGAATGTCTGTGGGTGAGCACGTCTTTGCCATTCAAAAATCAAAGCGCACTTTATTTTATAATGCCGTCTTATTGCTCTTCTTTGTAGGTGCATTTTAAAAATGTTTTCCCAATCAATCCTGGACTCCTGCTCAAAATGATAAATTATTATAATGACAGCTACAAAATAAACAACAATAAGCCCGCGAAGCTGTTTATAGTTGCATCCTGATGGATGACATGCGTGACAGCTAAGTGGAATCCTGGAAAATAAACCGTGGAACTTTGACCAATGAGAGAACAGTTTACTCGCGCGTGACTTGTATTAACAAATTTGGTCCGTTTGGAAACTTTGCCATGTGAAAGCGAACCGCACCAAGAATAAAAAGCAACATTGTAATAATTTTAATCCCTGTTTCGGAACAAAGCAATCGATCTACAGGTGTGAAAGCACCCTTAATCTTTAATATTTGGCCATTTCTTTAGGACAGAAATGCTATAGCCACTGTAATTAAATGAATATGTGGACATCAAAACGTGTAAACAGAGTGAGGGTTTGAGCTTTTATTTTGAAACCGCGATGTATTCTCCTGTTCCTGTGGAACTACTGTGAACGGAGCCGCCGTGTGACGCATGTACTTAACCTACACGCATGTAAATAATTAAAGCGCATATACTGTATTAGAACTGCATCGCATATAATTATTTAATTAAATTGTAGCTTTTGTGAATTCACAATTATGCTTAATTATGCCACTATGAAGTCGTATTTTGCCGGTTAGTCGACGCGAGCAAAATGAAGTCGAGGATTTTTAAAAATCGAATAGTTTAATAAAATCGACGAATCGCGACAGCAACTGTGATCTGTGATACTGTAGATTCAGCAAAGCGTGGCAGGAAACTCTGCACTCTGGTTATTTATTCACTGGTAACCACTGCTGATGTTAACAACACTGATATTGTCTTTGCAGATGGTTGACTCAGAAAGGCACCAAACAAAGGAAGATCAACGACTGGCTGGGTATAAAGAACGAATCAGAGGAGTAAGTTCTGTTCATCTTGTCTTGAGATACTATAAGCAAATACAACCTAAATTAGTTTGAAGCCTTTTGGGATACCCTCAGAACTATCTGGACATTCATTTCAACATCCTAACACAGACTTCATCATGAACTTCACTCAACATTGGATTTTGAACATGGACTGACTGTCTGCTTTTAAAATCAAGAGACAAGTTTTATTCAAAAAGCTCTTAAACTGATGTTTTTTTTTCTTTTGTTACAAAAAAAAGTTGAAATTATGTCAAAAATAAATGGAAAGATCTTGCATTGCATTTTATAGAGATGTAATAGTGGATGTATTTATTGTTTGTCTTTGTACCGGTATGTTAAATTACTGTTTTTACCACAAAAATATGCTAATAGGCTAATATATCTTATTGCACAATGCACAGTCATTAATGAAACAAAATCAAAATCAAACAAATTTTTGACAGGTACATCAAATATACAAAAAAAAAAGTAATCTTTCCATTTATGAACTTTCAGCTTCTATTCTCTGTTGGATGACGATCAAGCACATCACGACGAGTGCGCCTGGTACGTTGGGGACATCAAGCGCACACAGGCGGAGGATCTCCTGAGAGGCAAACGAGACGGCACCTTCCTCATCAGAGAGAGCCAGACCCAGAAGGGCTCCTTCGCCTGCTCTGTAGTGTGAGTTACTGAAGCACTTCCCTATTCACCATATCCAGCATCACATTTGCTGCAGCTCTAGTTTGCTACTTATTCAGAACCAGTTCCTTTTTAAAAAACAATGGAACCGAATGGCATTGATAATTAAATAGCAACACCAAATCTAGAGCACAAAACACTCAGCGTGACCAGTGTAATCTCATAACAAAACAAATGATTCTAATGAATCGGTTGCTTTTAGTGATTCAGAAACCATACGTCCAGTATCCAGTAGTCTGACTCCCGAAAAAAGACTAGTGAACCAGTTTGTGATTTCTTTGTATTGTTGTTTAATATTATTAGATTACATTTACACAGTCTCTAAAAAGACATTAAAGAGTGTTTGTAAATGCACAAATGGTTTTAAATGTATGTCACAGTTCCCCCGTGTCCTTTAAAGTCAGTTTGATCAAATTGAAGGCCATAAAATGGTAAAATAACAATCGTTTTAAGAGGCTAAATTTGGGGATGGAAAAACAGGAATCACTATGTCTTTATTTGATCATTCAACTACAGATAACTTAGAAATGTGTAGCTCTCACATTTATCTAATTCAATCAAAGTCAGAAGGCTGACGCTTTCAGAACAGTTCACAATTACTTAATGCCACTCATTTATGCCAAGCGATGAATTGTCTTCATCTTGATGAATTGTTACAATGTTTACTTCATAATGTTTATATTATCATATATTGTAGATGGTTGAAAGAGCGCATATTTTATTTCCCTCATCTTTTTAAATGAGCAGCTAGTAAACAGTAATAAGGGGAAGTCGTGGCCTAATGGTTAGCGAGTCGGACTCATAACCCAAACGTTGCGGGTTCGAGTCTCGTACCGGCAGGGATTGTAGGTGGGGGGAGTGAATGTACATCGCTCTCTCCCACCTTCAATACCACGACTGAGGTGCCCTTGAGCAAGGCACCGAACCCCCAACTGCTCCCCGGGCGCCGCAGCATAAATGGCTGCCCACTGCTCCGGGTGTGTGTTCACGGTGTGTGTGTGTTCACTGCTGTGTGTGTGCACTTTGGATGGGATAAATGCAGAGCACTAATTCCGAGTATGGGTCACCATACTTGGCCACATGTCACGTCACTTATATAAGTAGTAAATAGACATTCCAAAATAAGAGTCCCATTGCATTTTGAGCTTGTTTATAATTCAAAGCTTCAAATCTTTTGTCAGGATATTATTGGCATTTTGGTTACACAGTAAACTCAATCTGGCATCTGGGTCGCCCCATCACAGGAAGGAAAGACTAAAAATATTATTTAACACATTCACTAGTTTACTAGTTACAGTTACTAGTTTTTATTGCCTTTTTATACTTTAAACCAGTGTTTCCCAACCTTTCTTTAGAAAATTTCACCCTTTGGAAATTTTAACAAATTTGTGGCACCCTACAAAATTTATTTTGTCACTATATTTGAATTTCTAACTTCGATATGATACTTTGAAAAGTAATTCGGTACAGCAGGGAAGAACTGCAGAATATACTGTCATACAGATATTTTTAATATTATAAAAACATTTTGTCCATCAATGGTGGCAATCAGTAGGCTAATTTCTAATGAA